CGAAAGAAGAAGTATATCTCTTCTACTAGCTTTCTAAATGCGTATCGGCGCAGATTTGTAATCAAGTTTTTTTTTATTGTTATTAACGTATAGATTCCGTGTATGATTCTCGAAGCGCATTATATTGATTTGTGTCAGTAAAACTGTGTAGCTGTGTGTGAAAAAATCGCAGATTGATTAGGAAATACAGTGCTCTGTCCGAACTTCTCGGACATTGTCCAGCAATTTGAGAAGGTTATAAATGCATAAGAAATAGTTTCGTAGTGAAAATAGAGGAACGCGCTAGAAGAGTTTTTTTTTGTCTGTTTATTGTATCTTGTGAGAATGATGAGGTAAGGAAAGACGGACATTAGGAGACAAGAAATTCATTGATAGAGAGTTTTTTTGTTAGTGTTTGAATATAAGATAATGGCGAAAATGCCGGTAGCACATAGCAACGAAAATCTTGGGGATATTTGCGAACCAAGCAATCCCTTTTGTCAAATTTGTAATTCCATAAATTTTGTATAGTTGAAACACTCACGGCTACACCAGCATGTCCGATATGTGCGGCAGGCTGCCTTCTTTCGCAACTACGTTATGGTAACAATACGCTGGCGGCGGAACTGGGAGACACAGTCGGAGGAACTGAGACAGGAATCGGAGATAACTTAGTTACAAAGGGAACACATTCTTTGAAAAGAACGGGAAGTCATTTTAAAAAGAGAGGCAGAGGTAGGCCCATGAATCCACAAGGAGGCGTGACTACTAGATCAAGACTACTAGACTACTAGACATGTTGAGCATGGTCGGTCTGAACAGGAAGAACATATTTCGGAAAAATCGCAAGACGATATAGTAAGATATATTCAGAATGCCTTAAGTGTACAACAAGAAAACATTTTAGATGATATGGTTGAAATTTTAAATAGGAACATCGAGGAGACAATTCAGAGACAGCTGGCACCCCTCAATCTAAGCAATGCCAACCAATCTGTGGGGAACTGTGAGTCTGGCCATAGGCAGATCTGTCTATCTGGCTTACGCACTTCTTTGACAGAAAATAGCTCGAATAACAATAGTAGCCGAAGCAGGTCAAATGCACAGATAGCACCAACAAAAGCGGCTAGCATAATTCAAAACTGGCGGATAAAGTTTGATGGTTCGAGAAATTGCATGAGAATGGAAGAATTTATCTATCGGATACGGTCGTTAACTGAAGAAAACTTTAATAATGATTACCAGCTTCTTTGCGACCATCTATATCTCTTGTTTGCTAATAAGGCCAGCGATTGGTTTTGGAAATTCCACCGTAACAATACCAATTTTTCTTGGGAAACCTATTGTGTTGAATTTCGAAAACGATTTGAAGAGGCTGAGACTGATCTTGACATATGGGAAAAGATAAGGAAGCGAAGACAAGGTGAAAATGAATCTTTTTATGATTACAATAGTCAACACTAGAATTAGGCTGTGGCCCAAAATATAGATTCTTATAGATTTCGGGGTTTAAAATTTTAAATGAATTATGGTTTCTTTTTATGGTGTAGTTTTTTTTTAAAGAATTTTTTAAAATCTAGTACTTTTTTTTTTTTCCAGAGGTAGTGTTTCTATTTTTCACATAACTTAAGTATCTTATATCTGGTTGACCCAGACTCTTTGTATCTGCAACTTAACGCCTGGAAGATATTAAGCTTTCAAATTCAAATTTTATCATTTTTTTGCGGTACTTTTTTTTCAAAATTTTGACTTTAAAAACTCGGGAAAAGTAGAAAAAAAATTATATCCTGTGACTTCTTTTTTTTTTTTTGTATAGGTGCATTATTTAGGCGTCGTTTAAGGTATTACTCATTAGAATATATGGATAAACGGTCAATTTGCAGACGTTTGACCAAAACAACTCAAAAATAATTTTACATGAAATTAGTGCTTTTATTTTTCACAGAACTTAAGTATCTTATATCTGGTTGCATAGAACTTTGCTGTTCTGAAAAGCTGACAAACGCAGCTATAAAACCGACCCAGAATTTTTGTATCTACAGCTTAACGCCTGGAAGATATTAAGCTTTCAAATTCCATCATTTTTTGTGGTATTATTTTTAGAAATTTTGACTTTAAAAACTCGGAAAAGTCGAAAGAAAACTAGTTCTTGGCCAACATTTTTAGTTTTAGATGCGCATTATTTAGGCGCGTTTAAAGTATTTTTCATTAAAATCTATGGATAAACGGTGGAGCTAAAATTCGTTAACCAAACCTCAAAAGTGAAAAAATAGAGAAAAAGTAATTTTTAACAAGAATTCAACCCCTTTTCGTTTGCTTTGCTTCCAATTAGCAGTTGGGCCCGCAACCTTCCAAAAAGTATTTATAGCTGCGTTTGTCAGCTTTTCAGAACAGCAAAGTTCTATGCAACCAGATATAAGATACTTAAATTCTGTGAAAAATAAAAGCACTAATTTCATGTAAAATTATTTTTGAGTTGTTTTGGTCAAACGGCTGCAAATTGACCGTTTATCCATATATTCTAATGAGCAATACCTTAAACGACGCCTAAATAATGCACCTATACACAAACAAAAAAATAGAAGTCACAGGATATAATTTTTTTTCTACTTTTCCCGAGTTTTTAAAGTCAAAATTTTGAAAAAAAAAGTACCGCAAAAAAATGATAAAATTTGAATTTGAAAGCTTAATATCTTCCAGGGGTAAGTTGCAAATACAAAGAGTCTAGGTCAACCAGATATAATATACTTAAGTTATGTGAAAAATAGAAGCATTACCTCTGGAACAAAAACAAAAAAAAAATACCAGATTTTAAAAAATTCTTAAGCCTAGTACTCAGATCGAAAAACTGTTTGCTAGCAAACAGATGTCATATATTTTTCGAGCGACCAGTGATGTAACCAGAGGTGTGCACTGCATTCCAAACGGTTACACTGCTCAGACCGCTGCTTGGTTTTGTTTAAAGTTAACAAAATGCAATTCTTCGGCTGGGGCCGCTCTTCCCAGGCATATCCTGGGCTCCCCAATATTTTATTGGCAAGGTAATGTGTCTGACTATCAGCAGCAGCAGATGGCGACGCCACCCGTGCCGACCACCGTGAAGACAAACTGTTTTGAAAGCAATATTTGTTTTATATATATGAAAATTAATAAAAATATTATATTATAATATCCATATAATTGTCCTTTATATAATGCTGCATTAATTAGATTTTATTTGTCTTCATTATTAAAATATTTCATTTGGTTTATTGCTGGCAAAAGATATCAAATTGAAATCTTTTTCGAGGTGGGTCGAAACATACCAAAAAAACAAGCATATACTTCGGATACTTTTCCAGTATATACCGACCTTTTTGTTTTTTGATCTGAGTACTGCCTTCCGTACAGAGCCTAGAAAACAGTTTTTGCCGTAAAAAATTTCTTATCGGTTTCATACAAATATCAACCCTGATTCTGTTCGCGAGGTGTTTTTTTCGATCTGAGTACTAGGCTTTAAAAAAAAACTACACCCAAAGAAACCATAATTCGTTAAAAATTTTAAACCCCGAAATCTATAAGAATCTATATTTTGGGCCACAGCCTAATTCTAGTGTTGACTAGTGTAATCATCAAAAGATTCATTTTCACCTTGTCTTCGCTTCCTTATCTTTTCCCATATGTCAAGATCAGTCTCAGCCTCTTCAAATCGTTTTCGAAATTCAACACAATAGGTTTCCCAAGAAAATTGGTATTGTTACGGTGGAATTTCCAAAACCAATCGCTGGCCTTATTAGCAAACAAGAGATATAGATGGTCACAAATAAGCTGGTAATCATTATTTAAGTTTTGTTCAGTTAACGACCGTATCCGATAGATAAATTCTTCCATTCTCATGCAATTTCTCGAACCATCAAACTTTATCCGCCAGTTTTTAATTATGCTAGCCGCTTTTGCTGGTGCTATCTGTGCATTTGACCTGCTTCGGCTACTATTGTTATTCGGGCTATTTTCTGTCAAAGAAGTGCGTAAGCCAGATAGCCAGATCTGCCTATGGCCATACTCACAGTTCCCCACAGATTTTTTGGCATTGCTTAGATTGAGGGGTGCCAGCTGTCTCTGAATTGTCTTCTCGATGTTCCTATTCAAAATTTCAACCATATCATCTAACATGTTTTCTTGTGGTACACTTAAGGCATTCTGAATATATCTTACTATATCGTCTTGCGATTTTTCCGAAATATGTTCTTCCTGTTCAGACCGACCATGCTCTACATGTCGCGATCTTGATCTAGTAGTCACGCCTCCTTGTGGATTCATGGGCCTACCTCTGCCTCTCTTTTTAAAATGACTTCCCGTTCTTTTCAAAGAATGTGTTCCCTTTGTAACTAAGTTATCTCCGATTCCTGTCTCAGTTCCTCCGACTGTGTCTCCCAGTTCCGCCGCCAGCGTATTGCTACCATAACGTAGTTGCGAAAGAAGGCAGCCTGCCGCACATATCGGACATGCTGGTGTAGCCGTGAGTGTTTCAACTATACAAAATTTATGGAATTACAAATTTGACAAAAGGGATTGCTTGGTTCGCAAATATCCCCAAGATTTTCGTTGTTCCGGCATTTTCGCCATTATCTTTATTCAAACACTAATAAAAAAACTCTCTATCAATGAATTTCTTGTTTCCTAATGTCTGTCTTTCCTTAGCTCATCATTCTCACAAGATACAATAATCAGACAAAAAAAAACTTGTCTAGCGCGTTCCTCTATTTTCACTTCGAAACTATTTGTTGTGAATTGTTTATGTTTTACGTTAATAGCCTTTTCACACTGGGGACCATCCACCATCCATTTCTGGGATGGTCCATAAGGTTTTGCCGTTCCGAAAATTTCCCAGTTATTCCACCATCCATCTGGGATGTTCCTAATTCTCACGTTTCAGTGCGGTATTTTTTCGATAATTGTCAAATGCAACCATATTTCACAACAAAAAATCGGAGATCACTACGAAAATGTATACAATGACAGACAGGAAAATATAAAAATAAAACAAAACAACCCCATCAGATCTCACAAAGCACGCAAAAAATAAAAAAACATCAAATAAAAATGGAAGGAGCAGTAAATGGCGGTGGTAAGTTTAATAGATATCATTTTTGAATACCCATATATCACAATATTGCAGCACATAAGAAAACAGCCAGTGGAAGGGTCAAGTGGACCACAGAAATGGAGAACCTACTCATTGACCTGTGGCAAGAAAATATAGACGATTTGCGGGGAGTCCGTAAGAACTCCCACGTTTATATGGAGATGGCCCAGACCATGAAGGAGGGGTGTGATCTCGATGTAGGATGGACAGAAGTACGAACGAAGGTTGAAAACTTGACCAAAAAATACAGGTAAATATTATTAGATTTGGTAAACAATAAATTGTTGATTCCATTTTATTTTCATATGGATGGAAAAAAATAAAGTGGGGCCAAGCGGAGGGGCTCCCTCTGGATGGCAGCATTTCGAGAAGCTGCAAGCCTTTTTAGGAGCCTTCCGAGTAAACAACTTGGAGCAAAGCACCCTGGATAACGAGAGTAAGTTAAATAAAATTATGTATTGATTACGTTCATTATGTTATGTTCATTGCAGATATTAATGAGTTTTTTTCGGACGTGATCGAGGTGGACCTAGATGGATCCTGCAGCTCCAGCGCACTCTCTGTGAGCAATGGGCCCCCACAGAAGCGCACCAATCTGGATAGTTGCTCCGCGGGCAGGGCGCCAGCGCCAAGGACACCAAGGCACCACAGGCGGCCCCAGGAGCGATCCGAACCCAGACGACGTTTCAAACTGACTTCATGCAATTTTTAAGAGAAAACAAACAGCAGTAGTAAGTTTTTATAATAAATTTCTTGTCTGTTTAAATTTAAGTAATTATAATAAATGAATAAAACTAATTATTTAAATTTATTCTATTCACACAATATGTTGCAATTGCAGATCGTATCTGTTCTGCTGAATGATTATAATCATATCGACTCACACCCAAACAAAGATTATTTTCTTTCACGTTTCATGTTTTGTGACTAGTGCTTATGTTTTCTGCCGGAAATATAATAAAAAAATATTGCTGCGATCGGGCTGTTCTCTCTGCTCACTTAAAGGTAGTTCCCATTTTTCATTAATTGAGCTGTTGTGCATGTTTAACATGTTGTGTAAAATGCAACAGCACAATATAATGGCACTATTGTTTTTATAATGACTATCCAGGCCTTTTCCAATAATGCGGAATCTGGCTTTTAAGTGCCCGAAAGCATTTTCCACAACTCGCCTAGCTTTGGAAAGGTTGTAATTAAAAGTGCGCTGTTCTAAAGACGCTGCTGTAGAAAAAGGGTATGGCTTCATAAGCTTCTTTGAGAATCTGAATTCCGAGTCCCCAATCAGCGTTACTGGCACCTTTACTCCGTTAATTTCCTTCGATTTTTCCTCAAGCAATGGCGACTCTTCGATACGCTTTCCAAGGCTTGACTTTTGGTAAATCATCGAGTCGTTGCATCTTCCTGCGGATCCGATGTTTACATACGTAAATCTATATCTGAAGTAGATTGAAATTAAATATTTTAATAATTAAGTAAATAACTTGAAAATATTTGTTTAGGTGCGAATATCTTAGCCTGTAGTCTACCATTGCAAATAATACTGTTGAATACCAGCCTTTGTAATTGTGGTGGTCGACTGCCTCAGCTGCAGGTGGTTTTATTTCGATGTGACATCCATCTAACATAAAAATTAAGTGATGAAATTAATTTACATATATGTATATACATATATTATGGATGATTTTATTGCATTATTACCAATTGAACCTAGGCACTGAGGAAACCCAATTTCTTCAAATCCTTGGACACACTCGTCAATTTTCTCTGAAGTGAGATAGTTTTTGGGCATGTATTCCTCTGAGAATTCGTTGATGAATGCTCTGCAAAACTCATGCAGGATATTGCAGACGCTGTTGGCTGACACTCCGAAAAGCCTACCGACTGTTCGGTACTCAGAAGAAGATCCCAAAGTATATAAAGATATGGCGATACGCTTCTCCAGAGGAATTGCAGCTCGGCAGTTTGTGTCCTTCTTCCGTAGCACTTCTAAGCGAGTAACCAACAGAGAAAAGCAGGATCTCTCCATCCTAAAACTTTCCTTAAAAAACGCCTCGTTGTTTTCGGGTACATCCTTCTCCCAAAATGTACTGAACCGGTTCTGAAAAACATAACACTTTAAACATTGGTTGCATTTATTAGAAGCACTCACCACAACCTTCCGGGCTTCAGTGTTTTCAAAACAGATATCCATTCTATTATCTCCTCCTCGTCAAAGTTATCCTCATCATCATCGTCCATGTCCAACAACAAGATTAGCTTGTGCAAGAATATGTTTTGCTGCTGAATCACATTCACGACCATTGAAATGTTATTTATATTCATTTTAATTAAAGTAAACAAATTTTCACCGCACGAAATTGTAAGCAACAACTGTTTGTCATGGATGGTGGATGGTGTCAATGTGAATCGGTGTTTCACATCTTTCAAAAATTCCCACCGTTCCCCCAGGATGGACTCAGTGTGCAGAGAGTATAACACTTTAAGTTTGATTTTAAACCGATAAATATCGATTATAATAATGTGACCACTTTATGAATATTTTAGTATTTAAGAAGTCTGTTAAGTGGACATCCCTGAAAAAAGGCGAATGAAGTCGAAGTCGAAAATAAAGAGAATAAAAATTGGTCGCTCGCGCCGGATATTTATATTCATTCAACAGGTACGACACAACATTAAATGGTCGATCGAGCCGGATATTTATATTCATTCAACAGGTACGACACAACATTAAATGGTCGATCGAGCCGGATATTTATATTAGTTCAACAGGTACGACAAAACATTAAATGGTCCTTCGAAGCCAGCGGAACGGCACATGGAAAATACAGAAGCTATTTCACAACCAGAATTTCATCAGCATAAGTGTATGTACCCTGACGCGGAGACACACACAGACAAGCCCTGCTGGAAATTTCAGTAGCATCTGAAGTGAGTGTACCCTGACACGAGTGCACAAACAAGCACTTTGGTGTACGAATTAAGGTGTGTGTATGTAAGGCCGAGTACAGTTCCTGATAACTTGGACATACCACACTGCGACATATGTGCACACATTTAGCAGACAGCGAACATGTCACAAACACGTAGTGGAAAGACAACGTCAAAAAAAGCAAAATCTGATGACAGCAAAGAAAATATGGCAAGTGCAATTCATCTTGGAAACGCCTCCCAGCCTGACCAAACTGTGGTGCAGGCATCGACTCCTTATCCAGCAGCAAAAAAGACAGTACCAACGGAACAAACAGTGCACTCACAAAAGTCAACGAGGGCCCAGAAGCTACAAATTGAAATGGAACATTTTAGGCGGCAGCAAGAGATTATGCAACAACGTGCGTTACTGGATTGCAAAGAGAAACAAGATCAGATGCAGCGACAATTCGAGATAGCGCAACTGGAGGATGACAACGACGAACAAGATGGCAGCCAAGATCCTGATGCTGAAAACGACGAAGAGCAAGCGGCAAGTAGAACACGAGAGTGGGTTAAAAGACAGCCTAATCAATTATTTTCTGACAATGGTGATGTAGGAGAAAGCCAAGAAAATATGGGTAATACAAATTTAATGCAGACATTCATGGCTAGACAAACTGTTTCACAAAAGTTACCTTTTTTTCTGGAAATCCACTTGAATGGCCGATATTTTATGCTGAGTTTCAAAACAGCAATGAAATCTGTAAGTTTTCTAACTATGAAAATATAAATCGGTTGAGAAAGGCACTATCTGGGCGTGCAAAAGAATCCGTTCAATCACTTTTGTTATTACCAAGTAATGTTCCAGTTATTATTGATTTCTTAAAAAAAAGATTTGGAGATCCAACCAACATTATTGACATTTGATTAGCATCAAAATTACCCTCGTAAAAGAAGATAAAACTGAAAGGCTTATTAGTTTATGACACCCTTACTAATCTGATACATACATTATTGACATTTGAAGAATTTGATCATATTCGCAATCCACTTTTGTTTGACGACATTTTGGAACTGCCATTATCTCAGCGTCTTGCCTTAATGCATTTTACCAAGTACAAAAAATAATGAGCCGAAATAATAGTTTTTCACAAATGGCTGGTAAGAAGTTAAAGCAGCGCAGCGTTAGGTTCGGGCAATAAAACAAGAACAACTCTGACTGTTTCAAATCAATTAACATATGACAAAAAGGACAAGTCTCAATATTGTAACTTTTCAAACAAACTAACCATTATGTATCAACATGCGTTAAATTTAAATCATTAGATATTGACCAACGATGGGACATGTTAGTAAAAATCGATTATGTATATCATGTCTTTGCAAACCATATAATGAAAATTGCCAGCGAAGAAACCATGCCAAATTGACAATTTTACCAAACATACAACACATATACATAAGAATAGACTGCCAAATCAATATTGTGCAATTCCCAGAGTTTTCAGAACCAAAGATAGAACAGAAATTAATTGTCATAAATTATGATAACCACAAAGTTCTTCTAAAGGTAGTACCCATTTCGATTATTGGTCCAAAGACAATCGAGACATTTGCGCTTTTGGATGAAGCTTCCACTGTGCCTCTTTTGGATCAAGATCTTGCTGACGAATTGGGTTTAGATGGTCCTATTAGACCATTGAAAATGCAGTGGACGAATATGAGGTGTATGAGCAGAGTGAGTCAAGGTAATTTGAGTCTGTATCAAGGAAAGGGTCAATCATCAAAGTCACTTAGGTTAGAAAAGTTAAAACGATTTGGGGTCTTAATCTCCCGGTTCAGTCTTTGGATGTTGATAGTTTGACTGACAAGTGGACATTTTTAAAACCATTTGTTAATCAGTCTTACTGTAGGGACAACCCAAATTGTTAATTGACAAGATAATTGGTCGGTTATTATAACACGAAACTCAATACGAATCATTCACTGGCCCAGTTGAAGTAAGCATCGCTGGGCTGGGTGATTCATGGAATTATTGATCCTAATAGATGTTCTGGCCAATCAGATTATACCTTTCATATTAGAAATTGCATGGATGAACAAAATGATAGGGACGATATAGATTCGTTACAAGATCTAGTCAAATCATACTGGAATTTAGAAAATGAACTGACTACTGTAAGGATAATCCGATCTCCCTTGATGATAAAAAGTTTAGAATTATTGACAAAACTTTAAGGTAAATAGTTTGAAGTGGGACTATTTTGGAAAAATGAAAATGTTAACTACCAGAAGTTACTCTAATGCCTACAATAGATTGATAGCCCTAGAGAAACTTGACAACTCAAAATATCAACAAAGATACCAAGACATGATAGATTCATATATAACTAAGGATATATAAGAAAATTGGATATAAATGAGGAGCGTAAACACCTTTGACTTTTTATCTCCCACACTTGGTGTAGTTAATAACAATAAACCAGAAAAGCTTTGAATATTATTTGATGCAGCATCAAGGACACATGATTTAGCTTAAATGATTTCTTATTAGCGGACCCGATCTATATAGCCAACTGATCTCCGTATTAATGAATTTCCTAGACATAAAATAGCGTTCGTTGGCGACATAAAGGTGATGTTCCTTCAAATACAAATACGCGACGAGGACCGACACGCGCAGAGAATTCTCTGGCGAGGAACGGATCGCCATTCAAACCCGGACGTAGACAAGAAACCGCAATGCACTGGATTTTAAAGACAAGTTTCCCCAAGCCTGTAACGATATACTAAATAATCATTACATGGATGACTATCTAGGTGGAGCAAGACGTAGTGCAGTGAATTTGATAATCAAGTTAATATATTCATGAAAAGCTGGGTTTCATATGTGTAACTGGGTTTCAAACTCACAAGACGTTTTGACAATTTAATAAGAAAAGAACAGAAACTGATATAAAACCAATTAAAATTAACTCAAGAACGAATCCTAGGTATGATGTGGGACTTCAAAGCAGATTTTTTTGCATTTAATTTGAACTTTACGAAAGCACCTTCTGATATTTTAAACGTATTTAAACGACCAACTAAGCATCAAGTCCTTAAAATAACAATGTCAATCTTCGACCCTCTAGGGTTCCTGTCAAATTTACTTATTGCCAACAAAATTCTTACAAGCCATTTGGGACAGCGGAATTGGTTGGGATGATTTAATCATTGACGAAAATTATGAGATTTGAAAAAATTGTGCAAAAATATAGGGAAGATACAAGAATTCAAAGTACCAAGACAAATGACAACTCTTTTAATTGACAAATGTGACATTCAATTAAACATATTTTGCGACGCATCAAAGAGTGCCTATGCCGCTTGTGCATACTTGCGATTCAGCGATTCACATACAGTAGAATGTTCATTGGTAATGGCAAAATCCAAAGTAGCTCCATTAAAGCCAAAGTCTATACCAAAATTAGAGCTACAAGGAGCATTACTAGGAGCTAGATTAGGCAAAGCTGTAAAAAAAATTCTAAATGTTCGGATAAGCAAAACATGCTTGTGGACTGATTCAGAAATAGTTCTGCATTGGCTTAAATCCAGCAGTAAGCGATTTAAAATGTTTGTGGCACAGCGACTGGGTGAAATTCAAGAATTAACGAATGCGATTGGAAATATGTACCCACTAACCTAAATCCAGCCGACCAAGCAACAAAAATCTTAAAATTCGATTTCGCCACCAGTGATGTATGTCCGAAATGAAAGTTAAGTAAGGACTTTCGCCTGGACAAAACATCGATTGAACAGGAGTATGTACATATAGTCACTGAGATATCTAATACGATTGAAATACCTGACGTATCCAGATTTTCCAACTGGATGAAATTTTTACGCACGACTGCTTGTGCATTAAAATTTATAGATCGACTTAAAAAGACAAACGACTCAGAATTTTTAAGTGAATTGACAATTAAGAATATAAACAGAGCAGAATATGTAATATACAAGAAATTGCAGCTAGATTTTTACCTAAGCGAAATTGACTGTTTTATGAAGTCAAAAGCTATCCATAATTTAAGCACTTTAAAGTCACTTACAGTTATTATGACAGACGATGGATTGTTACGAATACAAGGACGATTGAACAACATTGACGAAGCCCAGTTTAATTTCGATTCAAAGAATCCAATTATTTTGAGCAAGGGGCATCCGATTACAGAATTTTTAGTTAATTATTATCATGTGAAGAACTGGCATGTGGGTAGGGAAACGGTTATAGCCAATTTACGACAAAAATATTGAATACCAAATTGCCGTAACGTAGTAAAGAAAATAATAAGATAGTGCCAGTTTTGTAAAAATAAAAGATCAAAGCCGCTTGTTTCAATTATGGGCCAATTACCGTCATGTCGTGTACAACCAACGGAAAGACCTTTTTTAAAGACAGGTGTTGACTATTTCGGTCCAATAGAAATATTAGTGAATCGAAGTCACGTAAAAAGATATGGTGTGATATTTACTTGTATGGCGTCGCGCGCTGTACACTTAAAAATTGCTGAAGATCTATCGTGCAACGCTTTTATGAATGTTTTTCGACAATTTGGATGTCGGCGAGGATTTCCAATAGAGCTATATTCAGACAATGCGACCAATTTTAAAAAAGCAAGTAAAAATATATACGAAATTACTGCTAGTTGGCCCGAAGACGAGATTATTCAGATTATGACTACAAAGAAATGTCAGTGGTTTTTTAATCCTCCGTTATCTCCACATATGGGAGGAGCATGGGAACGTCTCATACAGTCAGTCAAAAAGTATATGATGTATCTATTAACAGAAAAATATCCAAAAGAATATGTTTTAAAGACCATTTTTTGCGATATAGAATTTATGGTAAACAGTAGACCCCTACTTTATATTCCCTCTGATTTAACTGAGGTAGAACCATTGACACCAAATAGTATTTTGATCGGACCTAATTATAGAGATTCATTTTACTCAGATGCCACCGAAAGGGATTTAAAAACAATAAATATGTGGAAAGCATCCCAAAAGATAGCAGACTTGTTTTAGCAAAAATGGAAAAAAGATTATCGTCAGTTCCTATTATGTAGTAGAAAATGGACTAAAGACCAAATTAAGATTGTTGAAGGTGATATTGCCTTAATTACTGATTCGAATTTACCACGAAACACCTGGCCTATGGGCAAAGTAATAAAAATATATCCATCTTAGGATGGGCGCGTAAGAATTGTAGACGTTAAGACTAAAAATGGAATTTATAAAAGACCAGTTGTCAAGTTAATTAAATTAGATGTACGCTCTAAGAATGAAATTTAATGTAAATGTATTGTCACGTGTGACTACAATACTTTGGGAGGAGAATGTTGTGAATTGTTTATGTTTTACGTTAACACTTTAAGTTTGATTTGAAACCGATAAATATCGATTATAATAATGTGACCACTTTATGAATATTTTAGTATTTAAGAATTCTGTTAAGTGGACATCTCTGAAAAAAGGCGAATGAAGTCGAAGTCGAAAATAAAGAGATCAAAAATTGGTCGATCGAGCCGGATATTTATATTCATTCAACAAGTACGACACAACACTATTTATTATGCATTTATAACCTTCTCAAATTGCTGGACAATGTCCGAACTTCTCCAGAGCACTGTATTTCCTAATCAATCTGCGATTTTTTCTTACAAAGATTAACCTAGACAGAACCCTAAACGGATAAGTTGATTTGCATAGATCTATCAGGGTCGATCAATCCGGAATCCGAAATGCAATCGCTAAGTCCACCAATCGAACTTGAAATTTCACTAGAGAAGCATAGGAATAAAAACAAACATTATTTGGTGATGGAGGTATGTATGAAACAGCGGTTCTGATGCAATGTGGTTTTGGCTAGCCCGATTACTTAATCTCTTGTCTATTTGGGGTAAGTTCGGGATGATTAAGTCCTCCGGAACTTGGGATTCACAGGTTGGGACAGCCTTCTCTTAGTCGTGGCCATATCCAGAAAGGGTGTATCTGTAGCGGGGTCTTCGAAAAAACTGGGAATGATTGCCGATATTGGGCTAGCCCAACGTCGGCGAGTCAGTATCGACTCTATCCGCAGCGGGAAAGTGGACCGCAACCACTCAGTTGTGCAGTTTTCGGTGCTATCGTAGTCTGGTGGTCGTACCGACTTGGGTGCATTGCGATCTCCCAGTACCCCTTTTTCCTGGATAAAAAAATTTCGTAAGAACCCTATTTTTCCACAGTGTTATAACGTACCTCTAGCTTCTTTCACAAACTTCACTTTCTTTTACTATTATTCGTAATAATAATAATAGTATTACATTATTAAATTGGATAATTTATGTGATTGGAGAACTTGAAAATTATGTAATTCGACGTGTCTTCACTTTTCACAGAGCTATGGCAGCAACAGGAAACATATATATACGTGTGCATTGATTGAATCAAATCATAATCGCCTGTACCCCTTGCATTCTGAAGCTGAGCTTTAAGCTTTATCATAGCTGATCTTCTTGGTCTCCCGCACTCCACCAATCTCTTCGAGATATGCTTACTAGGGCAGTATGAAAAGTATTTCCCTACCAAATGTACCTAAATTGTTCGATGTTTATTTGATTCAATTAACTGAAAGGGTATAATGGGACACTGCAACCACAGATAATGAAACAAGACCTGTTCGAAGGTACATTTTCTGAAAGAAAGGCTGTTATTTATTCTTTGAGATGGAAAACTCCAACCTTTTTATACTGCTAGGTTAACCAACTCATAATAAAAGGGACTCCTCTTTTTGTGAACTTTTGCGGAAATGAAAACAGGAGCTAACTTCGCACAGAACTTCTTACTTGCATTGCTTTGGGTAAAGTTACGAGCAAAAACCTCATCACCCGTTTTAAGTTGTACGTTCCTTGCCCGAAGATTGTATTTCTTAGCGTTAAATTCGTGCAATTTGTTTATGTTTTTCTTAGCATCTTGTCTGACCAACTGTAACATATCAGAGTAGCCTAAGCGGACGTCATTGCTGAGCAGATCCATGTTTCGCAACAGGGCATTAATCTTTTCATGGTACATAAAGTTACCATGCTCTGACCAAAAACAAGGAAATAAGGTGAATAGCCAGTACTCCTATGCACAGCGGCTCGAAGCGCACCATTGATCGCGTTCAAATTAACGTCCCAATTGGAATGCTCAATTCCAATATACGCGCGAATGGCTGCCAGAACTGATCTGTTTAATCGATCACAAGCATTGGCTTGAGGAGAAAATATAGCCGTACATCGATGTGTAATGCCAAAACTAGTCAGAAAAGCCTCAAAAAAAAAACTACATTTAAACTGCGAGCCGTTATCCGTTAGAACAACTTCGGGCACTCCAAAGGTATAGAATATGGAACTTTCAAGGTATTCACACATTTTTGGTGCCGTAAACTTTTTAAGCGGGCTAAGAAAATGGAATTTCGTGTTATGATCGACCGTTATAAACAATCCAATGTTTCCATTTTTAGTACGAGGGTACGGACCTAAAAGATCCATATACAAGCATTGAAAGGGACGATCTGATGTTAATGGTCGGCCCATTGGAGGTTTTAAGATTTTGTTCGAACTCTTGGTAGATCTACCAAGATATTCCGGCGATTTAAAATGCATGGACTGTAAATCGATCAGAACTATTGGAAACGAATTCTTCTATCGCAGGCTGGTTCCGACGAGACAACGCATCAGCCACAATGTTTTTGGACCCTCGTCTATGTGTAATAGAAAAATTGAAGGATTGCAGCTTCATCGACCACCTCGCTAGTCTTCCGGAAAGATCTTTCTGTTTCATCAGCCATTTTAAAGAGGCATGATCCGCTACTACCAAGAAATCTTGCCCTTCTATATATGGACGAAATTTGTTAATCCCTTTGATAACGGCTAAGCATTCTAATTCGCTTACAGTGTAGTTCCGTTGGGCTTTCGACAATTTTTCCGACATGTATGCGATGAGAAGTTCTACACCATAACGCTCTTGCGCTAGGATGCAACCTATCCCGTAGGTACTTGCGTCACAGAGCAAGATAAATTGGATTGTAAAGTCGGGGGTTATCAAAATCGGAGCCGAGGTTAAACGCAATTGAATGCTTTCTCGGCATCATCATTCCAGACTATAGACTTTTTGTTCTTCAACAATTCTGTCAGTGGAAAACTTGCGGTGGCATAATTCTCGACAAATCGCCGATACCAACCGGACAATCCTAGAAAACGGCGCAACTGTTTGATTGAGATAGAAACAGGAAACTCATTAATGGCCTTTATCTTCCCCGGATCCGTCAGAATTTGTCCTCCTCGAATGACAGATCCCAGATACTTTATTTCGCGCATACAAAATTTTGACTTCTCAATAGTAATAGTCAGATTAGCCTTTCTCAGACAAACAGAAATTTCCTGCAGCGTGTCTAAATGCGACTCAAAATTCTCGGATAGCACAAGTAAGTCATCTAAATATACAAATACGCATTAAACTAGTTCTGCCTCAACCTTGTATAGCAAATGATGGAAAAACTTCTACCACGGCGTTCAAGCGACTTTGTTGTTCACTGGACAGAGGATGCCACTGGGGAAGCTCTTGGTCATGACTCTCTCCACCTACATCTAGTTCGGAAACTTCCGCGTTGATGATATCCTCCGCTAGTCCAAACTGACGCCAAAAGTCTATCCCTAGATAAATGTCTTGCTTCAGACCTGGTATTATGAAGAGATCGAACGCTGCTGTTTTCTTTCGATACGTAACATGTGTTGTTAGTTTCCCAACAACCTTACTTTGGGTTCCATTAGCAGTTCGAACGTAACCGGAGCACTTTTTGGTTTTATTTAATGCCAGTAACTTCAGTGCTGCCTTGCCTCCAACACAGCTTAAAGTGGCTCCAGAATCC